AGACTGTTTCATAAACATCTGAGTCCATGGAAAATAAATACAATCAAATACATGTGGCAAACAATAAAGTAATACTGAGCAAAAGATGAGGGGAGAACATGAAGGGACAGCAGTGGTTTATGGCTCTTTGTATGAACTTGAAAGCAAGGGAGGAGTACTTGCATCCCAGGCAAACACAGCAATGATGGCATAACCTCTTTGACTTGAACCGTTTGGAGAGGCAATGAGTGCTACAGCAGCAGAGGAATCCTCGTGGGCCTGAAAGAAAAGAGAACAAGTCCATTTAAGTTAAACTCATAACCTAAGAGGTGCTAGAAACAACGGTTGGTTGTGGTAATCTAAAGCAGTGAGCTCAGGTACAGGTGTGAGGGAACTGCATGTCCAGCAAATCATGAAAGATGTCATCTGAAGCAGCAGCAGAGAGGGGAAGGTGTCCTGTAGGTTTCAAAGGCATGATAGGGCCTTGTCTGTTGAGAAGATGATTACGGAAGGACCACAATAATTGCGTAAAGGTTTGGGGACGTTATCCAAAAGCTTGGGTTGTCACCAAGGCACAGAACATTGCCATGCACGTTTCTCAGTTCCTCTTTGGCAGGAGAACTACACCAGCAGCGTTAACTGAGAATCGTGGAGAACCAGTGAATAGAAGAACCAGTAAAACCATGCTAGGGATGGTTACTGGCCACTCTAAAGATAAAAAGAAAAGTATAGGACAGAACTACAATGTATCAGAATGGAAGATCTTTTGATTATATTAAAGATTAAATACTGATGATTTGAAAATATTTTCAAACCACCAGTGTCAATCCCTATCAATCATCACTAGCAAATGTCCTTATAAAAACAGAAGATATTTTTGAAGATCCAGTGCTTTAGGGAATTGTTCATTCTTCAGATTGCCATTTTGGCATTCTAGTTGTACAGGAGTGTACGAATATCTGTATTGATGACACTGGGGATTGGTATAAATTACATGCAAGCACAATCAAAGATTTTACAAGCAATTTGGCAAAGTACTTAGGCTGGCTAGAGTTGAAGTGTCAATTCACATGCAAGGAAATCACTCCAAGGAGAAGAAGTTAACAGAGCCTCAGCAGGGAGGGAGATCACGGTAGGGCAGGGACCACCACCTCTACCAAGAGGATTGCCATTTCTTGGAACCGTGAACAATGTGGGGAATGGGGAAATTTGTGTCTGTGCTACCCATTCAAACAGCATCCCAAATTCATTCCTGTGTGACAATCAAGACAGATGTGGGAAGAACTTTTAAGAATCTGAGGAACTAATGAAGGCACAAAGCTAAGGTTGTCCAGTGATAGCCCCAAAGAAGGGGTTAAACAACTGTTTTACAAGAATATGGTAAAAATTGGTCATCAGTGGTTTATGTACCATCTGCACTGACTTAATGTGCTGAAACACAGAAGGTGGCTTTGATTCTAATTGAATTATGTAAAAGTTTAAACTTAAGAGAAGGTTAATGTGAAGAGAAACTGACTTTAAATTGCGTGGGCTTGGCTCACTCTCTTTGAAGTGAGATTATTTTTCAGTTACAGATGCTGGAGAGAATTGTTATTTGCATTAAAGCACCGGTGTTTCACAGATGTTGTGGTGACTGTAAAGTCACTGTAGAGGTGACATGGGTGAGCACATGCAGTAAACCATCAGGTCTTCTACTTTCACAACTTACCTGGAATGGGTCTTGATCTCCCTAACGCAGGGCAACAGCAATACTACCTACTCCAGCACAGACAGCACTGCTTCAAGAGACCTCTGCAGGTGTAGAACAGCCAATAAAGGTAATGCTAACCTTCTGTAGTGACTCTACTGGTGCCAGAAAACATAACTGAGCAAGGCAACCAGAGTAACTTGTGCTGGGTTGAGAGTTAGCCAGTTCCTTCATAGAGCCACAGTAGCAATATGAGAACAGATCTGTTCTCTAATCAAAGAGTTATCTGTTATCTAATCTAAGAGTATCTGTTATCTAATCAAAGAGTTTCTGAAATTTGCAGAGATGTTAAAACACAGCCAAAACCCATCTGAACAGGTTCATCCTTTGTATGTTGAAGGATTGGGTCTACTTGACAATTCCACGAGAACATGACATGGGCTGTCACGGGAGGGCTGTGAGAGATGGATGAATAGTCTGATCTTGTTTACCAAGTAGGTATAGTACAGACAGGTAAATTTTAGAGGCAACTTCCTGTTAAGATACACCAGCTTTCAGATCCTCCCACCCTCATGACACAGGAGATGTGTTACCTGGTGATGTGCACTGTTACCTGAATGCAGCTGCCCTCTGCGTGCAGTGGAAGAAAATCTGCAAACATTCCAGATTACCCGGAATTACTTTCGTTAGTACAAGGGAGTGCTTCCTTGAAGGACCACGTACTCCATATGCTTTTGTCTGGTATGCCCAGTGAAGCGAGGCTCAGGGCTGGGCAGTGTATGTCAGAGTAACCAGCATTAAGTCTTTCAACCACTGAAGGAGTATAGGGGCCTGCACTGATGATTCCAGAACGTTTTATCTTGCCTGTATGACTCTTAAGGGTTTACCCTATAAACCATACTTGAGGATACAGTTAAAACACAACTAAGACAACTGAGCCATCTTTAATACAATATCCACCCAACTCTCTTGGATGTGGACAAATGGTTTTAAAACTAAGAATAAAAAACCAAAACAACCCAGCAGCCCAGAGAAAGATCTAGAAAGAACACTGTTCTGTAACATAGTTTTTCTACCTCTTAACTCATACCTATTTTTTCTTTTAATATATCCATCACTTCTCACAATTCCACGATTTCCTTTTTTTCCCCTGAAATACATTTCAAGATTTCCATGAATACAAAAGTGAAAGTCACTAAGAATAGCATACCCACCACTGTCCCCAACTCACCTACTTCCTGGCTACTTCCAACTTCCATCAAAGTGTAGGTATGTGCTGTCAGGCCACAAGCATTAGGTACTTGGGAAGACAACTAATCATCTGACTGCAAGTCAGACAGCATTAAAAGATGTGCAGCTTAGTACCTTACTGGTCCCTTAGAGATTCATACAAATATAGAAAGCTCAAAAATGTACCTACTTCCATTATTGTTTTGACCCAACCCTGTAACTTAAGGACAGCATTTCTTTGTTAAATGCAATGCTTCAAGTACTGAAAGTCCAAAATTCCAGATTCCTACAAGTATCATGAATGTACCTGAAAGTTTAGAAGACTGCAACATCACACATCACAAGATCAAGTACTCAATAGCTGAAGGAACACAAAAACACATTAACAAAAAATGTTCCTCCAACTAAGTCAGAAGAATGCCTTCCTGAAATATAGCTGGAGGACATGAAGATGACTAGATGGATAAATTTTGAAAGCTTTATGCTCAAGGAATATTTGACAGCTTGGGAAGGATTTAAATTCAGGCTAATTAAGAAAATCTGCAAAATTTCAGATTTTCTTGTCATGATGCCTGCTCTGACACCAAAGTTGCAAAAATCAGTTTCAGGCAGATCCTTGAGACAGCACAGGGGCTCTCACACTGCAGCAGAAAATTGTATCAAATCTTGCAGTGACCAAGTGCTCATCTCTTACCCTCTCTGTAAAATTTACTGCTGAGAACTGCCTTGTCACAGACATTTCAAACACACTGTAAAAACTCAACCTTGGAAAGCAATTTCAAACTAACACCTTGAGAAAAAGATGGCTGATTTTTCCCTAATGCACTCTCTTATTTAAATGTAAAATTACTAACATGTATTAATAAAGCCCCAGCACAAAGGTGTTGACTTCTGTAGCTGGCACAGAATCTGCCACACAACACAACTTTCTGAAACAAAGTGCTCATCTACACTGGGGTGTGATCACACATGATCCAGCCTCAGGTCTTCCTTTCTCTTACTTCTATCTGTATGTGATACATGAAGGTATAACATCACAATTTTTGCAAAACTTGTGCTTTGAATGTCCAAAAGGAATAAACTCCTGAAAGTACATATAAGAAAGGCTCTCCTGTTTGCAAAGGAACTGAATAAACTCCTCTTCAAGGAAGCACTGCTGTGCAATCAAAGCTATCTTCTGTAAGTGCAGTTAGGAAGCCGGATGTAACATTTAGTTTCAAACTGATAACTATTTAGAGTTTTGGAAAAACAGGGAAGAATGTCATCACTGAGTAAGATCCGAAGTTTTACTGCTCTTTTTCAACTGAGTATTAGAATAAATTTCAAAAGATGGCATCCTTGTAAAGACTTTATTCTACAACCATCTTTGATTCACTAAAACTGGTATTCCAAAGGGAATCAGAGGTTTCAAAAAAAATACCACTAATGCCATTTTCCTTCAGCTTTAATTATTTCTTTTTTATTTTCTTAAGTCAAATGAGTCAATATATTGGTATTCCTAAATCATCCATCTTGCATTTTGATGAGTTAGTCTACCACCGTTGTTCTGAGTTAAGAAATTTCAAAGTCTCTTTGGAATACTAATTTCTTATTTATAGGTTTCAATTTTTTATTCCTATTTCCCTGAATTTTTTCTTGACAGTTGCTGATGTAAAATTTCATATAAAATATTTAGTCACAAAATAGTATTGCTTTTATGCACATTGTGGTAAGATTATTTTTTTTTCTCCCAATAAAAACTATACCATCTTCCATAAAATCCTAAACATATTAAGAACTGTGATGCAGAACAAAATTACACAGGGTGAAACAGGTACCAGCACAACAGTGAGATTATATTACATCAAAAAATTTTAATGGTCCCAAATATATACTCAACAACTAAGCATACACTCAGGGGGGCAAAAAAAAATTATGACACAAAAGTGACGACATCTAGAATTCCACTCAATCTTTAATCAAGAAGGGACAAACAAATCCCTCACCTCCAAAAAAAAAAAAAAAGAATCTGCAGTTTAAAGGGCAAAGGGAACAGATTTAAAAAAAAAAAGAAAAAAAAAAACCAACAAAAAAAGAGGAAACTTTATATTCGGCCCTCCCCCGTAGAGGTTTTTAAAACCTGTTGTAGCTTGAGTAAAATGTTCAGAATGTACGATTTCAAAGGCAGGTCTCTTTTATACAAAGAAACTGCTGGCATTCTTAACTAGTGAAGAATTAGGGCAAAAATCGCCTCTTCTTCAGAAGTCTCATACATGGTCCAAGAAAGCATATTCTGATTGTAGCAACTGACCAGCCAATCCAGAGTTCCACTAACAAAACTCCTGCCCTGTTGGCTTTTTTTGTTTTTGTTTTGTTTTCCATTTCCTTCCCTGAGAAAAGGGCAACGTGTGGTCCAAGCTGGAGAGCTCAAAGGCGTAAGTCTTTCCCCTAAACGCAGTATTCCCCCTCCTTCTGCTCCTTTGAATTGGCACTTGATTGGCAGAAATCCATTTGTATAGGTTGATCTGTGTCACACACAGTAGTTCACAAAAGATTGCTGCTTTGCTGTGGGTTTGTTTTGTTTTTGGAAAAAAGATCCTTCCCCCAACCAGTAAGGTTCTTCAGCAGTTGCCATTATGATGACTCAAGCTTTGCTTTCTTTGACAAAGGTAAAGTTTCCTCTTTATCTTCATCTTCATCATCCTCTTCATCATCATCAGGATAATCTACAAGCCCAACAAGGCCTCCCTACAAAGATGGACACAATTACTACAATTAAGAAAATATCTGCACATATTCGTATTTGTATTGGAAAATGATGTTTGCACAGAACATTACCATAAGTATACTGATTTGGGAAGTTTTGAAGAAAATTAAGCAGAACAATAACAAATCCTTCAGTAAGAATAAAAATTACATTGTCTGAAAAATGCTTAAATGAATAAATCCAAAGTGGGCTTTCACCTATCCAACTGGGTGGAATTATTTCCAGTTGAAATTTAAGAAGTCTGCTTAGTTTTTCTAAATATAACTGCTGTTCTACCTGTAAAGATTTAAATCGGGAGCACAGTGGCGTGAAGCAAGGAGCAATCCGGAAGCACCTCAGAAACAAATACAGAGTATCCTTCAGTTGGAATTTTTCAATGATGATACTTTTAGAACACAGTCTGACCCCACAAAAGCTAATTTAAGTGTGTAGTAACTTAAAGGATTTTTTTGTATAATGTTATTGAAGTGTATGGGTTACAAAATGTAAACAACTTGGCAGCTGAAAATGTAAGCATATCCAGTAATATTAAAAAATGCCTTGTATTGCAAATAAAATTTTAAGATTAGGCAGCTGTGGACCCATGAAGAAGAGACACAAACTTCTAGAATTTCCTTCAACTGCAGTACATTTTAGTTTCTGAAGTTTAACCAGCATTTGACTGCAATGGCAGTTACTGGTACTTTACTGCAAGATTATATTACTTATTCAGGTGTCTAATGATAGATATCTAAACCAGAAAATTGGCTACCCAAATACCACTTGATAAACAATTACATACATTCTGTACAGTCACATACAACATAACACTAAGTATACTATACATAACAGGATCAGATAATGAATGAAAAACCCAATTTCAACACCATTTCTAGTTTGCAACTGTGGCACATTCATGAACATTTTATACTGACAGGAGACAGCTTATGCCTGAATCCATGAATGTTTTTCAGTGCACCCCATATTCGATGTAACCTGAACATTCTTCTTTTGCTACCACGATGTGAAATTTTGGAGCCAATACTCTATGCAATATGCTCCATATGTAGACTCCATTTCAGATTCAAGGAATTACTGTCTGGAGAGAACAAGCCTCCAGCAGAAATATGGAATAGACTGAACTGAATTCCAAGCCAATTCTATCCCTTTTGAAAAGCACTTGACTAACTTCTGTATTTTTTTTCATAAATGAAATAAATCTGCTTCCCTTTCCCCAGCAGAAGGATTTAGAAGATGTGTCCCTTAGTTCTTCCGTCAGCCAAACTCTTCTCATCCAGGTGTTGTCAGCAGAAGATAATCCAAATATAAACTCTTAAGCTGTGTTTGACTATGAGAAAAAAACCCCTAAAATCCCATTTACCTTTCCTAGGAGTTAGGTGAACAATCAGAGTTATTCCGAGGCTGACTGAACTGAGATACAAACTGGATCTTTCAGAAAGGGAAGCACTTGTTAACGAAAGTAAATTATTATTATCTGAACTACATTGTACCAACACTACCTTATCTGTCCCCTAGTGCTGAGAAAACACCAATCACTTCATCTCCTTGACTTAGTTTAAATCGAGCTTCAGCCAAAAATCCAATAAAATCCAACAGCATTCTAAAATATATTCAAAAATGCTGATCTGGGATGTTCACTGCAAGTTCTAGCGACTCTTCTGAATGGGATTTCTTCTTCTACTTCAGTATGTTCCAACCCAAAATTCTATGTTATTTCAAAAGGTAAAAAAAGTCATGCTAGGATATTAAAAATTGGTTATGTTTTAGCTACAGCACCCACTACTCCTTAATACAATTATTTCTTCCATATGTGCCAGCTGTATCATTCTGCACAATATTAAAAATGGTAACAGCAGAAGTTCTCAGTGGGGGTGGTGGGACATAGTGGAATCTGGCAAAATTTGGCAATGTTTCCAAGGTATTTCTGTATTTCTACCTGCCAAATACCCTGTGTAATTCAACAGAAGTGAAGTGTTGTCTGTATTTCACAGTAAAGATCACTGCGAACAGCAGCTAGTGCTATGGCTCATACTTTAAGAGTTTGGGCATTAAAAGAACTGTTATTTCTTCTTTTTATATACATGTCAGATCTCCTTAAAAATGCTAAAAACCAGACAAAATGTACACACAAACCAGACAGTTCATTATTGCTTAACCTGTCAGAATTCTCTCAAACTTGAGAGATGCTAAAGCAAATCCCTAGTCTGTAACAATGAATTAAACCTACATGAATTCAGAGTTACCTTAGTTGTGATAGCTGCCATCTGAGATGTGCTTTTAGAAACTGATCCTGGAGACCCAGGGGACCCTGGGGATCCGGGTGACCCGGGGGACCCAGGCAGATTACTTGCAGATGACTGGCTGGTAAGGTTAGATTTTGTACCACTAGAAAAGGAAAGCTTGAAACTTGGGCTCTGACGACCTGAAAGGTTAGTTTTCAGAAGAACTTCCTTTTCTTCACTCTCTTTTACTGGAGAGAAAAAATAAACACAAAAAAACGCGAAAGTAGAGCAGTATTATTTAGCGAAACATTGAATGACAAATCACTTTACTGTGTGGGAAAAGGCTTAACACTTTATGTACTACTTGGTACACTGAATAATCAGACTTTTTTTTTTTAATCATATTACTGTACCAGCTACCTGCTGTTGTCATTGGCCAGGAATGGACACTTCTATTCTACCAATGAAATCACCTGAACATTTACATAGAAAATTTTGAATTATAAACCTGAATAAAATGCAGGAAAACCTGACTATCAGCTAAGACTGCCATTCAAATGCTTAAGGAAATCTGTAACAATATTTTGTATCATTCTGCTTTTCAAGACAACAAAGCCTGTTTTGAACGGGTGGTCCAACAACTTGGTGTCACAATTGCAAAATCTAAGAACTTCAGAATACATACATGCAAATCCTTCACTGCGGTAGGACTACAGAATACAAGTTATGGCTTCTGCATGAGCCATAATGGCATTACTCTTCTCATCACTTACATTTTTTCCTTTCCATGAATTTACTGATAGGGTCCATAATATCTTCATCATTTTTAGTTTTGTCAGAAGGGGGCACCACTGCCTCTCCATCTTCCATATCGTCTTCATCAGTATTAAACCACATTTCCTCCTCATCCTCCAGGGTTCTTGCATCCCTTCTGTATCTATGGTTTCTCAAAATGGACCGCATGCTGCCGAATAGTAAGTTTAAAACTTTAGATTCAAAACCCAAATCATATTAATAATAAAACATCTACTCAACATTTACAGTGACAGCTTACAGATTCTAATATTGGAGAGCATTAAAAATACCAGCGAATCATTCTGTAATGTGAATCTTTGTATTTTCAATGCAAATATAATTACAAACTTTTCTTTATAAAGAATAAAATAAAGTACATTTCTGCTAATAGCACATTCAGACTACTCTATCCAAAACTGTGTTGCATTCAGGCTTGGATTAACAGTTTGCACAGGTAAATAAAAAGTTGCAAACCTAAGAGTTTGGAAACTATAGATTTTGTTGGGTTTTGGTATTAGGGCCTTGGAGGAGGGGGACAGTGATGTGCACCCTGAAGAACAGGGGGAGGAGAAGTGGAAGAG